GTTTTGAAGATAGTCCTAATGTTAAATTTTTTACCTACTCGTTTAATTTGATCTGAAAGTTCTGGAATAAATGGAATGAAAAGGTTCGTAATAGGTGGTTAAAGTTGAGTTTTTTGCTGAAAAATTGCCGCCCCACTATGTAGTATGGACAAAAAACGACTCGAAAAATTGTCTGTAGCTGGTCGGTCGGAAAAATTGATTTTTTTGTGAACGAAGGCCAGAATATTATCAATCCTCGCGTTCCATGAAGAGCGACTTTTTGGTTTTCGCCAAAAATGTAAAATTCCAAACAAGAAAACCTGCAAAAATTTTCGAATTTTGGTCGCAGAATTTAAAGCAAAAAATTGTTTGCCTTGCCTTATGGGCAAATTGCATGCAAAAATATGTTGATCCACAAGACGAAAGCAGAACTTTTAAAATTGAAGCGCGTTTTTTATTTACTTTTCATTTTCATAAGGCTTGAATTTTTCCATTTAGCTGCTGGTTGTTCAGTCGACTGGTTTATTAGGATTTTTTCAGGGCGGTTTTGTCAATCATTTTCCTCCCTTTCACGTTCACGGCAAACGGCTTAAACTGCCACTATACACCTTTTGAAAGGTCGAACATTTTATGAAGAATACCTTTTTTTATAGAACGGTTTGTCTGGGCCAAATAAAATAAAATGCTAAAAATGAGCAAATTCCCTAGGGTTTGCTTGGTGAATTCAGAACAAAAGAGGGGATTTTTTCCTTGTTGTCCATATGCCAACATTGAACGGAGTTTAAAAGTGAAATTGCTTTTGATTTTCATATAAAAGCGTCGTTTTTATTGCTTAAGTCTAGTCACTGCAATGCAAGCGCTTACCTGAGGATGGCGGTTTTTTCAAAACCGCAACTGATTTTTCAAAGAATTTGATTTATCTTGGAGTTTTCAGCGTTCTTAAGATATTTCTGAATTTTCCATTCACTTATCTCACATTTTCTGGAAAACAACGTCAGGGGGGATTTTAAAAATTGCCTTTATTCACCTTTTAAAAGGGCGGATATTTTATGAAGCTGAATTTTCTTTGTCAGAAGGCTGTGTTTTTTGAGATAAAAATTTAAACGTACATTCTAGCACATTTCGTAGGCTTTACTCGGTCGATTAAAACAAATTACATATTTTAAAGAAAGTTTTTGAAGATTCAAGGTTTTTTACAAAATT